GTTTATTTGACCCATTGTTTCAGGGAATTCAGCCCATGGTCAGCTAGCTCCAAGGGAGGAACATCAACATGGAGAGGCTTAGCAGAAGAATGCTGCTCACCTTCCAGGAAGTAGAGCAGGCAAAGGGTGGCAGAGTGAAGGGACCCCATATATAGTACACAAGGTTAGACCTCCATGAACTACCCAGACACACCCAAAATATGCTTTACTAATATGAAGGGGGCTCTCAAGCCAATCAAATTAATAACACTATCCATCACAGTCCATAGCTTAACAGCTTCATACCCAAACACAATCTCCTTAAACTGTTTTTAATCTCCAACTAAACACAAGGTCATAATTCTACCTAAGATGTAACTATTATACTTACAATTGAAAACACACTAATGCCTTCCCAAAGTCTCAATAGTTCCATCATTATTCAAAAGTCCAAAATTTCCTGTCAGACTCAAGGCAGACTCTTAATTGTAAAGCCCCTTAGTTGTAAATTCAAAAAGTATTACATGTTCCCAATATACAGTGGTATGGGTTAAACATTCCTATTCCAAAAGAGAGGACTAAAGGGATAGAAAAGAATAGGACCAAAGCAAGAATAAAAGCCAAAAGGGCAAATATTAAATCCCATAGCTCCATGTCCACCATCCAGGGTACATAATGGTAAGATGTAAATTCCTAATGTCTTGAGCAGGCCACCTCTAAGGCTTTGCTGGTTGCAGACCACAGAGTGAGCCTCTCTTAAGGTTACTTTGCTAGCTGCCTGTGGTCTTCCTTAGCAGACATTCCACATTTGAGGTATCTCTGACTTAAGCACTATACCTTAGCCTTCATTCCTACAACTTTATGCATCACCCTCTCAGGGGCACATTGCCTGGCCTCCCAAGCCTTCCTCTGAAACCTGGTGGAAGACTCCCTAATCCTACAACTCCTGTACTCTGTCTGTTGGTAAAACCAGGCTACCAGTGCAAGCAGAAGTCTGGCCACTTCAGACCATGGTTGCAGTGACTGCTGAAAGACTAGATGGCTGAGCACAATGAAATTAACCCCAAATAATCAGTTCCTTAAATGGCCCTTCTTGTCTTCTCAAATGAAAGTTTTACACTTTTATACTCTTGAGCCTGCAATGAGTGGGAGTTTTGATTCCTGAGATGCCATCAGTTGTCTGATGGCATTAAAAAGAAACCAAAGTGCTCAGTTCTTTTTAATGGCATCAGTCTCTCCAATAACCATATCTCCCTTTTGATCCCCACTTTACGTATAGTCTTTTCAGGCCAAAATTTAAATTTTTCAAATCAATCTGCTCTGCTTTTTGCTCCCAATTCTCACTATAAACCTGGATAATGGCATCTAGCAGTACTCATGCCACAGCCTAAATTTTGGTCTGCCCTGAAATTTCCTCTACCACATCAATTAGTCCACCACCATCCTTAAATTCAGCCTCACATAAAGTCTTAGGACATGGACAAAATGCAAACAAACTTTCTCCTAGAGTGTGACATATGTGACCTCTAGTCTAATTCCCAACAGAGTCTTCAGTTCCAAATGAAACCTCAAAAACCTGGCCTTTACTGACGGATTCCTATCAGCATTTTGCTCTTCTAAGCCCAGACCAGAATTGCCCATCTATCTCTTCTAGGAATTCTATAGCCTGCATCTCTAAACCTTTACAAACTTCTCCTCCAAACCAGTCCCAAAGGCTTCGGAACCAGACTGTCAAGTATAGTGCCATAAGATTTTACAGATATCAGATAGATGATTATTGTAGTAGTCCATGAGAGAAATGATAGTAACTAGCCTGGGATGACAGTAGTAAGAGAAGTGGGTGAAGTCAAGATAAATTTTGGAGGAAGAGCAAATTTACTATCAAATCATCTAAACTTTCAAATTGCTGTAGTTAAAAAGTAAAAAATGTAACAGCTTGCAAAAAAACTTGAATTGAGCTATTGTGTTTTCTACTTAAATTGTAAGCCAGATTTGATTTCAATATTATATTCTACAAAAGAAAATAGAAAAATTGCTAAAATGGAATCAATTATTTTATGACATGCAACAATAAAAGTATAGTAGATATATATGACCTTATCTGTTGAAGTCGGAAGAAACAAACAGTCCTTTGCTTTTTAAAATACCATTTTTAAAACACTCATTCTTGCATATTTATCATGTTCAGCTGTGACAAGGGATACATTCCCAAGGTGTGTAACAACACTGTCAACTAAACATTGAACCTCATCCTGAAGAGTACTGACTTGGCTAGTTTTATCAGCTAACTTCTGCCACTTCAATATTGCATGTCATTAATAATAGCTTTGAAATTCAAGTATACAATGATATACATTAACTAAAAATTCTGTAAACTCTGTCATATTAAAAAAAATTTTTTTAAACTGTCATGTTCAATTTTTAATATCTGAGTGAAAAAAGGGGGAAAAAGGACAATTCAATATTTAATTCTGCTGAAAGTTCTTACATAGTTTATCAAAGAATCTGACCAATATAACATAAGCAAAGTACAGCCTGGTTAAAAATGACTAGAATCTTTCTCTAGACTTCACCTTAAGAGAAGTACTTAAGATACTTTCCAAGAGTGAGAAAATACGTTTGGTAAACTAACAAACACTTTTCCACTAGTTTCACTAAACTTAAGAACATCAATTATGGCAAAACTATTCTATACTTTCTTATTACTGCAATCATTATGTTTCTTGACATTATATTAGATGTTTTCAAAAAGCAATATGCACCAACGTACAGAATTTTAAAAATATATAATTCATTAAGGCAGGCACAATGGTGCTTGCCTGTAATTCCACTTGGGACACTATGGGTTCAAGACCAGCCTGGAGTACATAGTGAGTTCAAGAGTGGCCTGAACTATATAGTGAGACCCTGTTTCAAAAAACAAAACAATATATCTATATCATTTATCAAATGATCAAAGTAGCAGGTATTTGCATTATAATTGGCTAAGGAATTTTTACTGATTACTTTAAAACAGATAAATATTGGTAAAATTTGAATCAACTATTCAATTGTACATCCATCCATCCATCTACCCAGTTATCTAGCGCCCAACCAAGATTTATGGAAAGCTTATTAGGAACTTACAGACTGATAAAGAGAGACAGGAAGGTAAACTGATCATTTCAACACAATTATAATATAATCCTTTAAGGATTAATAACAGTGGGACCATCTATATGGAGAAAGAAAAATACAGAGAATATTCCCTAGGATAAAAAGATTAAATAAATGCTATTCTCTAAACTCTAAATATATAATATTAGACACTATTATCATTTCAAAATAAACTATGAATCTGAAAAATTGAGTTGGTTTACTTTTATATTCTAAAGGAAAACATTCAGAAAAGGGGGAAAAACCCTAAAAACTTTGAACAGCACTTGTATGTATAACTATATTAGATATGTGTAGAATTACTGGCTTACAAAAACTAAATATTAGACTGCTTCCTTCCTTTCAGAATTCACAGGATCTGCAAAATGCTGATTTCATTATTTCATATTTATTGAACTCTGTTTAAGTGCCAGGCAATAACTTAGGTATATATTATTTACCTCTTAGAGCAATCTGATGGGGTGAAAAATAACCCTATTTTACAGATGAGAACAATGAAAACAGGCAACTTGATCAATAGCATGCTATCAATTAAATTAGCCAAAATTTAAATGTAGGTCTTCTAACTCCAATTTCAATCCTGTTTTCATTAGACACAGTTGCAGAATTAAAAATCTAAAGAATAAATTAGCATAGTCATCTACGCTATCATATATTATCTACAATAACTAGTCTCTCTTCCTGAGAGCTTAATATATGGCAGGCACTGTGTTGGGCACTTTGTTCACATCTCCTCCGATGTCCTCAGCAAGCATCTGAGACAGGTACTGTCATTGCCATTTTACTGATGAGGGAAAAGGCTTATTATAGAGACTAAGAAATTTGCTCACTATAAGCACATGAGTCAATGAGGCAGCTGAGTATTGGACTGAGTCCATTGGGCTCTGAAGTCCAAGTCCTTATCTACAATTTCATTATGTTGCCATTTTTAAACTAATATGAGATTATTTTAAAACATACTTACCAATATGAAAGTTACATACTTTAGAATGGTTACAACTCAAAAATCTGGATTTTAAAATTAATAGAACAGAGCATATATTTCCTAAACGGGAGAAATAACTTGATAAAAGTATCCAAATATATCACTGGCTTATAAAATATTTATTTTGAATGAATGGCTAAACAATTTTTAAAATTCAAATTAGTTTATCTTTAAAACTGTTGGGAAGCTAAAACTGGCTTTTATTTTTTATTTATTTTACAAAATTTTTTGGTACCTGGGATTGAACTCGGGACCTTGCACTCGTAAGGCAGGCAGCGGAATCACTGAGCTAAATCCCCGGCCCCTGGCTTTTATTTTTAAAAATTCCTATCATGCTCATTAGAGTTGTTTTTTTGTTTTTGGTTGAAGGGTCTTACTATATAGTTCAAGCTGATGTTGAACTATGTAACCTAGGCTGGCACTGAACTTGCAGCAATTCTCCTGCCTCAGCCTTCTGAATCCTCAGAGTACAGGTATACTCCACCATAAGAATGGCTTTTGAATATTAAGAGAATATGGCAATGGAGAACCGTTTGGGGGAAAATATAAATTTATACATTTACTCTATTTTATGTCAGTAGATTAATACTTCCCTAGCAATAGTTATCATTTTTCTCTTAAGAAGTTTTTCTAAACTACAAATTTAAAATACAAGAAAAACATAGAAGCCACATATCTCAATAAAATTACAATGTGTACTTTGAAAACTATTACATTTCATTTTCCTTACAGTATACACATTCATGTTTCCAGACATCTAGCCTACAACAGATCCTGTTCTTAAACATCTAAACCTTTCAGCTCACCCTGGAAACTAACAGAATTATAAAGCATACTCTTTAAAAATACCTTTTAAATAAGAAAATAAAATAAGACTCACCATTTTGATGCCTGTGGAAAATGTCACTGGCTTTACAGGTTTGGGTTTGTCAAGCTGCATCTCCAACTGGATAGATCTATCTTTATGCTGAGCCAAAAGCAGAGCAACAGGGAGATCAGAACTCTCCTGTAAGAAAAGATCAAATTCAATATGAAAGCTAAACAGGAAAAGCTAAAAAGCAACAAGACTTTTATTTTCACATATGCTCTTTTCCATAAGCACTTGATGTCAAACTAAATATTCATTTATTAAAAACACTTTACAAAAATACTAACATTCCATAATAAGAAAAGGCTGTTGTAGACTAGTAACTTAAAATAACTTGCAGACAAGTACTTTTATAAAATCCACATTAAAGATAATATAACAAGGTTCTATTTCATCTAGCCACCAACCATATTTATTAAAAAGAAAAATAGAGGGGCCGGGGATTTAGCTTGGTGGTTCCGCTGCCTGCCTCGCAAGCACCAAGGACCACAGTTCGATCCCCATACAAAAAAAAGAAAAGAAAAGAAAAATAGAAGCTAATCACAAAGAGGAGTATGAAGTACTATAACTTAGATCAGATGTTTACCTAAGACACATTCTTTTTACCAGTGAATTCAGACCAGTTTGAAATTGCTTCCCATTAGATTTCACCTGAGGCTGTTTGGAAACAATCCTTGTTCTGTTTTGCACAATGAGACTATTGTGAGTACAACCATATATTTATTTTTTCTTTTGCTTACCTTACTTTTAAAAAGAACTAAAATTTTTTAATCAAGTTACAAAATGATAAATATTTTCAATATTTTATATTGATACTAAATCAGGGCCACTATTTGCATAAATCTATTCACATTTATTTTAGTATCCCAAGCAAATTCGTGACTAATTCTGAAATGTAGACTGCTATTTATCCTATTTAACATGAGGTCTTCTTACATGCTTAAAGTGCTGTGAAGCTAAGAGCTAAACTAAATGATACCCAGACTTCTTCCTTTCAGAGTTCTCAATTAAAGAGAACCCTGGGGGAAAGGGTTGGTGTCTGTCTGTCTGTCTCTCTCTCTCTCTCTCATACATTCTTTACAAATGACAATGAAGGTATGAAAACATTTCTATCTCCTATACTAAGTTGTATGCAAAAAATATTTTTGTTTAAAGGTTTTTATAATACATGCCCATCCAGAATTTAATCCTGAAGAAACTACTGTTAACATTTCCCAGTATGAAAACAAGCACATATCTGATTCCAATTTTTTTCCCAAATCTAACAATTTAATAATTTTTAAGCACAAATGTGTCTAAAATACTTACAGGAATTAAGGTTACAGTACAGAAATAATTCAAATAACATGCAAGTTAATGCAACAGAATTATCCTAGAATAAAATTACACATTAAGATTTTATACTAGACATGTTTTTTAAAAGCAATGTCACAGATAAAAACTTTTAAAAGTGAGTAAAAACACAAATTTTATTTATAAAACAGATGCTTGTTAAGATGAAAACCATTGAGACTGGCTTTAGAAATAATGAAAGAATATATTTGGATACTTTTCTTATTTTACAACAAAGCATTAGTAATACATTCATAATAGTATTGCTGTGAAACTGCAACTATTCTAAATGTCCTTATTAAGTATCTTTAAATAAATGTAAAATAAATATTTTAAATGAGCTGCGGCAAAAAATGTCTTTTCATATGCAAAAACTAACAGAAAAAAACTCTTGGCTAAAAAGTTAAATCAATGCTTCCCAATTTATATTCAAAATGAATTCAAATGCTCATCTATTAACAGGTATTTATTCTAAACAGCAAAAATGCTTATATTAAAACCAAGACAATGTATTCACTTCAAAGAAGTTGTTAATCAAAACTAGCTTGTTTTAATCCTGGTTTCACATATTAAAATGTCTAAATAGTTGAATTTTACATAAATAAACATTCTATGTTTTTAAAACTAATTTTAACACTAAGGCATATAATTTGAACCTACTTAATTTTACTTTAGTACTCAAAATTTTAGGGCCTGAAAACTTTTGTGAATGTTAAACTAGAATTAGCTTTAATGACAATACTATCTAAAGAGTAAAATAAACTATGTGAAACATATACTCTGTGGAAGATTCAGTCATTCAAGTTAGTTCATTCTTCTTACCAATACATTTTACCTTAAAAGGTTTCTATAACCTATAATTGCCTGAAGGCACAATTGTTTAATATTTTTTAAAATTTGAATACGACTGTCTGTAATACTCATTAAAAGGTTTATAATGACTCTTTTTAAAAGATTACTTTAACGGACTTAAGTAACCCATCTGGCAAACAAAATTTCTAATAAAAATCAGCTACTGCATTTCACAATTACCAACCCATACAAAATTTCAGACATAAATAGAAGAAAATTTCAAAATAAGAATATAAAAAGATTTAAAAAGACATGACCTGATTAAAAATGTCTTTCTAAACTGTTAAAAAAAGTTGAATTTACAGTAGGATTAAATAAATGGACTTTTTTTAGCCCACATTATGGCAAACGCTAAGCTGTAAGTACTAAGACCATAATGTTAAAATCCTGTTACAGGGATTTAGCTCAGTGGTTCCGTCGCCTGCTGCGCAAGCGCAAGGACCCGAGTTTGATCCCCAGTACCAAAAAAAACCCATCTTGTTACATATAACATCAATGATTTTTAAAGGTTAAAAAGTAACTTTTGGTACAAGGACCAAACTGAAAAGCGGGAGTAAAAAATTATAATAAGTAGTACTTGTGTAAATTAGGTGCAGGAAATAATCCTAAAATTTAAGCTTCTAGGCATATTTGCAAATGCCAATGTTATCTTCCTTTTTAATAAAAATCTAACACATGAACATAGAAAAGGAATATATTCTTTCATCTAGTTAATAAGAATTCAAGAAGAAAAAAGAAACAAAAGAAATTTAATGATTCAAGCAGTCAAAAAAGACTAAAAATATTTTAACATTTATAAAAAGTTCGGCAAAGATTAAAAACTTAATCTAAGAGTTTTAAAAATAAATTTCAAAATGGAAACAAGAAATCAAAACTGCAGTGGTATTCTAAACCAATCTGGTGCAATTAATTGTACTAATGAATACAGTAAATTACTAAGAATTATTTAACAACTACATTACGTGAGGAAATAGTGAGGAAAGTATGCACAGTAATGACTTGCAGGTGAAGAAAACAGGAAGTGGGGGAAAAGCTCACAAAATCTAATATTAACTCCAGATTAGACACAATGTACAACACTGGCAGTTTCACATCTTGCTTCATGCCTCAATGAATTATTGGGGCACTTCATGCCAACAGCACCTCAATGAGGCAGCAAAACTTAGTACAGTACTCTTGAGGACTAAGAGGCTATACAAAAATAATTGCTATGCAAAGCTAGGAAAACTCAAAATTTGCAAACCCTTTATAGACAAAACATAAAATGCCAAAATTATGTTGTATATTCATCTAATATCAGAGTTCTATATTTGGGAGTAATCAATTAAATGTATAGAGGAAAAGCATTACTCCCAAAAAAATATGTTCCTCTTTTTATAAAGTGATTGAGAATCGGTAAATACATTTATAGCACCAATATTTACTAATTCATTCCTTAACACTTTTAATTTCTCACAAAATACATCTACAAAAATATAAAACATAACACATGTCATTTCAACTGTTAAAGCTGTCCTGCCACATAGCACATTCAAAAAGAACTAATCAAAGTTGACAGGGAAAATATCATTATTGTATTTTATACAATGTTGCCCGCATTTGAAGAACCAAATTCACACTCCACTCACAGAGAGTAGACAGGGTTTTATAATAAGCATTTTCTGTCTAGTTAAAATTCATTAATCCCCTTATCTTTATTTTTTCTTTCTCATCTATTTCTAACTTGATTAACCTTGCTTTCTGTTTTTATTCCTGATTAATTTAATGTTTTATTGGACAAAAACACAATAAGTCAATTAGGGGAACTAAGTGTGTTAACACTGAAGAAATATCTCATGGAAATGAATTTATTTGCACAAAAATAGAAAAGGAAGAATATAAGACCTTTGTGAAGAAAAAGGTTTCCTATTTTGTGATGTAATCAATATCACAGAGTAAGAGCATCAAATAATATAGCATTAAATCTATGAAACACTTCAGAGACCTTACTTATTACTGCTATTACCAATAATATGACTACTTAAGTAGGTAACTACTGGAAAAATACCACTATTACAATAATACTCCCATTTCTTCCAAGTATATTCTTTTTCATGCAAAAGTATGAAATATAATTCTGTCCCAGAGCTACCAGAATCACTACAAATTTTAGCACAGAATCAAAATATTGAAAAATTAGCTAGTTAATAGACAACCAATATTAATCAAGAGAAAATGCTTTGAAAATAGCATTTTAATCGTTAAGCTTAAAAATATATAGGTAATCTATTGAGAGTATACCAAGTTAGGTCAGTTATAACATTTTTCTCTCATCTGAAAATAAAAGATATTGATAAAACATTTTTAAAGGGGAAAAAAAAGAAAAGGAATAGAAATAAAGTACACCAAAATCTCACTTTAATATCCTTATTTATGATCCACAAACAATGCCATGTCCACAAGCAATACCATATCTATGGGTAAATCATTTCAAATCCTTCATAGCAGTTGAGAGTACATAAAAAATAAGCATACGAATAAGACAAAATTACAATTAAAGAAGTTTTTATAATTTCTATCACGAACTGCTCTTTGAGGTAAAGACAGAGAATCAACTGAATTTTTATTATACCAGATTCTGGGAAAATATAATTCTTTTCCAAGAACAATATGTGGATTTAAAAAACCCACAACTTATATTGAATGGAAGAAGAAATTTAGAGAAAGGATCTATAAATCCTTCCCCTTGAAATTGTGTGGGCTCTTCTACTAATAATTATGGCAGACTTGACGCTGCAACCATTTCTCAGCTCAAGTCTTAAAACGCTAACAGCTTCTACTTTTTATTTTGAGAATATTTCTTTTCACAGCTCTAAGATACTGCATAAGATATACAAATACAAAGCCACAGAAACTACATGGGAAGTGCCCTGAGGATACACCAGAGGAGAGTAGCCCTGAAGTTCCACTTGGTTTCTTGACCCATAGAATTATGAGCATAAGGGCCGGGGATTTAGCTCAGTGGCACTGCGCCTGCCTCGCAAGTGCAAGGTCGTGAGTTTGATCCCTGGTAGCAAAAAAAAAAAAAAAAAAGGATATATTAATATCAATAAGCAATTACCAAACTAAAGATGGACAGTGTGAAAATGCCATTTAAATGCCACTATCAGAATCATAAATAGGAAAGGTTAACTCTAAAAACTAATTTTTCATCACAATTAGCATTTGTACATACCAGTTCATCTAAAAAAGCCTGCTTATTCTTTCGTTTTAAAATCTGCTGCAGTTGTTCCTCTTTTTGTATAAATAGTCTTCTTTGTTCATTTTCCTGTCGCTCTACCTCTAAAGCTTCTTCCAATTCTTCCTGTTCCCGAGTCTAAAACAGAAATTTTTATATAGCAGGCAAAAAATTTAGCAACTAATAGCAATCCTCTATCACTCTGATAATTTTTTTATCGGAAGCATGAAACACACTAATCACTGATATTTTAATAATGCAGCACTTCTACTTAGAAGAATCCAGAATTCATTTTATTTAATATGAACACATTACTATTAAAGAGAATGACATCTAGCACTATAGAAACACTAAAGTACACTAAGCCCAGAAGCGAAACTGTATTAACTACTTAACAGTAATTTTTATTTATAATTGTTATAGACAGTTTGGATTCATTCATTTTAGGAGATTTAACTTCACTTTTTTTTCAACTCACATATTAAGTGAACTCCTGCAGAAAAAATATTTCACTTATACACTTTAAACTCAGTATATGCAAAATGTCCTTACTTCTGTTAGGAGAACACCAATATCTCAAGTCAGGTCAATCTCAGAGTCATCTTTGTTCACTCTTTTGACACCCCACTCCCCCCTTTTTAATAATCAGTTGCTAAGTTCTATGAGCATCCCTCCCAATCAGTTTACAAACTTTTCCTTCTCTACAATGGAGGGAAAGCAAGAGTAAGAAGGAACAAATATATGAAACAATGTGGAATGATTGGTATGGTAGTCTGGGGGTTGGAGAAAGCTTCAGATAAAGCTAAAGAGGAAAGCTGAGGCAGATCAGTGAAGGCCTGCTATACCATACTAAATTAAAGGAATATATGCCATATTGAAGCAACTGGAAAGACATTAAGAGAATTTAAGGGATGGGATTAGAAATATGAATGGAAGCAATAAGGTACACAGATCAATAGGGTTCAACACTTAAAACAGAAAGGCTAGTTAAAAGAATATTCCAATAACCCAGGTAAGAATATATCAGGTTCCCAAATAAGGTAATAATAGAATCAGAAAAGGAAGTACTCTTGAAAAAGGCTAAGAACTATCAAGAGAATGTAAAGATTGACCAGGTATGGCTTGAACAGTTGGATGGAGGCTAGCACCATTCACTAAGATAACATAATAAGGGACAAAAATGATTTTAAGTCAAAACTGTCACAAGGGACAAATAACAATATTATGTAATTATAAAAGGACCAACATATAAGAAGATATAACAACTATAACCATATGTCACCCAACATCAGAGCACCTAAGTGTATAAAGCAAACATGGACAACACAGATAACCAAACAGCAGAAGAATACACATTCTTCTCAAGCACATACAGAACTTTTTCTAGGATAGCATACAAGACAGAAAGCAAGTCAAAACAAATTTAAGACTGAAATCATACCAAATATGACAACTAAGTTATGATTCCACTCTATATGAGGTATCTAAAATAGTCAATTCATAGCAAAGAATGGAAGAATGGTTGTCAGGAGCTAGGGGAGATGGAAATGGGAAATTACCAACAAACAGTCCTCAAGTTAAAGTAAGATGAGAGATCTACTATACAACACTGGACTAATAGTAATGTATTATTAGTGTGTTGTACTGATATAGAAAAGTTTTAGATAACTTAATAGATTGAATATTAAGGTAGCTGTAGAAGCAAAATAAGTAATGTGTTCTTTTAAGATTTGCTTTTCCTGTAACTCCTTGTTTAAGGCGAGGATTATCTGACTCTAACCAGTAACTTCATTAACCTAACAAAGTTACCAGGCCAGGGTGAATTTACAATATATGTGGCCTATCTTGTGTCTGTGACTTGTAAATAGGAACTGGAATTGTATTTATATATCAAAGACCACTAGGGATGAGATAATGGCTAAAAAGGATATAAAAAGGGAAATGCTGAACAAAGCGGGCACAGATATTGACCAGACTGGTTTCTGGCATTCCCGCCTGCTGGCGAGAAGAAATTTTATTATTTTATCTGAATTCTGTGTCTCTGTGTATTTCATTCCCAGATTTCTGCATCACTACACTTAAATTTTGTCAACAGGATAGACATTATGTTATGTGTTTGTACCACAATAAAACAAAATTTTTTTAAAACACAAAGAAAAAAGCAGAGAATGAATATAAAAAGTTTAGTTTTGAACACACTGAATGACAATACATCCAGAAAGAAACATCTATTAACAATATAGAGATGCACGGATATGTTATATACATCTAAGAGCTCAGGAAAAACAATGGGCTATAAAAATGTTTAGGAGTAATCAGCATAGAGGGGTAACTCAGAGACAATCACTGAGAAGAACCTGTATTTATTTAATAGACAGGGGAAAAAAGTCCCTAAAAGGATAAAATAGAAAGGTAACAGAAGGGCTGGGGATTTAGCTCAGTGGTGCTGTGGCTACCTCACAAGCACAAGATCCTGAATTCAATCTCCAGTATCAGAAAAAAAAAAGGTAACAGAACAGAAGGAAGAAGGGCAGGGGATGACTCCACAGAAGACAAGAGTTTCTAAAAGCAGGGAAAAAACTTCACCAAACACAACGCAGTGACCAAGAGAGAAAGAAAGGTAAAAAACTCTTGCAAACTCATTCTTTGAAGCTAGTATTACTCTGCTACTGAAACCCAAAAGGTACATGACAAAAAACTATAGACCAATATTCTTGATGAACACAGATGCAAAAATCTTTAATAAAATACTTCCAAATTGCACCCAAGGCCAGTCTGGATTGCATAGCAAGACCCTGTCTCAAAACGATAACAAAACAAAAAAAAGCTGGGTGTGGTGATGCATGCCTGTAATCCCAGCACTCAGGAGGCTGAGGCAGGAGGATCGCTATGAGATCAAGACCAACCTGGGCTACATACTGAGTCCAAGGCCAGCCTGGACTACATAGGGAGACCCTGTCTCAAAACAACAACAGCAACAACAACAACAAAAACACCCAAATTGAACTCAACAGCACATTAAAAAGATCATACACCACAATCAAGTTGATTTCATTCCAGAGATGAAAGATTAGTTCAACATATTCACATCAATAAACATAATATGTACATAAATAGAATCATGCATAAAAGTCACAAGATCATCTTAATACATGTATTTGATAAAATTCAAAATCCCATCATAAAAGCCCTGAATAAATTCAATATATAAGGATCATACTTCAACATAACTAAGGCTATCTAGGATAAACTACTGCCAACATCAAAATGAACAGAGGAAAAACTGAAAGCATTTCCTTAAAAATCAGGAACAAGAGAAGGATACTCACTCTTACTATTCTTATTCGATACAGTACTTAAAATTATACCCACAGCCATCTGGCAAGAGGAAGAAATAAAAGAGACAAATAGGAAAGGAGGAAGTCAAATTATCCCTGTTTGCAGATGATATGACCCCACACAAGGAGCTGATTTTTTTCAAAGATTAGTATAAAACAGCATAACACAAAATCAACATACAAAAATCACTAACCTTTCTATGCACCAAAAATGAACTCACTGAGAAAGAATTAAAAGAACAATATTGTTCACAACAGCTTCTTAAAAAATAAAATACCTACGAATCAACTTAACCAAGGCAGTTAAAGATCCTTACAATGAAAATTAAAAGACACTAAAGACAGCTAGGCATGTTGGTGCATGGCTATAATCCCAGAACTTGGGAGGGTAAGGCAGGAGGACTGTCATGAGTTTGAGGCCAGCCTGGGATACATAAGGAGTTCAAGGCCAGCCTGAACTACCTAGAAAGACCCTGTGTCAAAAAATAAAAACAAGGCTAGGGATTTAGCTCAGTGGTTTTGCCACCTGCTGCGCAAGCGCAAGGACCCAAGTTCGATCCCTGGTACCAAAAAATAAAAAACAAAAAAAAACAAAAAACAAACTTCATTGAAAAAATAAAAATAAAACAAAACAAAAATAATAAAGAAGGACATTAAAGAAAAAGAAAAAATATGCAAAGATTTCCCGTGTTCATGTGTCAGGGAGAATTAATATTGTTAAAATGTCCATACTACCCAAAATGATCTACAGATTCAATGCAATTCCCATCAAAATACCAATAACAATTCCTATTGAAGCACATAAAAACCTGAATACCCAAAGCAATCCTGAGCAAAAGAGCAATGCTGGAAGCATCACAATCGCTGATTTCAAAACATACTACAAAGCCATAGTAACAAAAACAGCACAGCATTAGCAGAAAAACAGATACGTAGACAACAGAACAGTAAACTGAGAAATAAACACAACCATCTACAACCAACTGATTATCAACAAAGGCATCAAGAACATACATTGGAAAATAGGCAGCCTCCTCAACAAAGGGTATGAGGAAGATTAAATAACCACATGTAGATGGTGAATACTAGACCCCATCACTCACCCTGAATAAAAATTGACGTTTTGTATGTTTCTCCATACTTTATTCTTTTTATATATTCCTGAATTAATTCAGTAGTATCAATACATGATTTTCCCACAAACTTGATCTGTATGTGTAGAGTAAATGTTGAAAAATATTCTTGCAATAACATTGGAGGGGTTAATGAAGGCACTAATCTGGGATCAATAATATGGGTTAAAGGACTAAAGGTCATGTTGATCTTCCTAATTGCACTACTTCACCCAATAATCCTCCCACTTTTAATTCATCAATAAGACTAGCTATTTTGAACTCGAAAGATTTCTCTAACTCATTCCTATTTCTCCTGCTCTTATTTAATTCATCTCTGAACTCATCTACATGACTGCAAAAACCTCCACTTGGTATCCCAGACACCAGGCTTGCTTCTAGCAAATTCAACCCCACAAAGTCACTAAATCCACCCTAATAATGACAATACCTCATTACCACCTTGCTTACACCCCTTCAACAGCAATCACTGAGACTTCAACATTCAGAGAAAGAGTAAAAGTCAAATTGCTACCCCAGGTTAATAAAATGACATCAAAATGTTTGTTAACTCATGCTCCATGGACTACTTCAAGGCTCACTCAACGAAAGATGTGTTGTAGGTGTTAGAATCATCCTAAAAACATGGTCCTAAATCTGCATGTTTAAGTCAATGCCATATTCCCAC